CGCAAGGCAGGTTGTATGATGTATGTGAGTTCCGGCACCTTTTTTTTTTTTACAAAAAAAGCACTGACCCTTGGTTACAAATCATATTTTCCTCCCCCGGAAGAGACTCATGATTCTTCTTTGTTAGGTCTGCATGATTCCTCATTTCCATAACTAAAGCTGCAGTGGTCTCTACAAGTAGCCCTCACAAAGAAGAATTTGATAATAACTAGAAGAATCGAGTTAAAATCTTACATAATATCACGACTGCGGGAAAATAGTTTCTGTGAAGATAACTGGATTAGGATGGGCAGTAAAATTTCTATTGGGCATAATTGTGTGACCTATAAATCCACTGACACCAACTACTAAATTTTCATGTAGGAAGTGAAAGTTTGAAGACTTCTTTTAACTTCCTGTCTCAGCAACAATTTCCTTTGTTTGGTTTTGCATTTGCAGTTAGTCATTTGCCATCAATTTTTCTTTAACTCTAGTCCAGAATTCTCCCTAAATTAAGATTGTTAACATAATTGGACTTTAAATCGGCTAACCCCTTTTTTCAGTCTTAAGTAAATGTCTGTGTTTCCATGTCAGACTGATCCCAGAACGACCTCTGCAGCTACAGCTGATTTGATTCCCAAAGTCTTCTGAATATCTCCGTTCTGAATTATTCCAAATTAATGAATAAAGTATCTATCTATATTTTAACTGCTATATGTTGTTGTTGTTTTTTTAGCTTTTGTGACATATGAAATGACAATGAATTTTCAGCTAATAATATTTGACAATCATTAATGGGAAACGTTATATAGCAGTTAATTATGTGTAGTTTTGATTTGATTGATGGTTTAGAATAGAAGGAGGAAATTAGAGGCATCATGACTCTAACCACCCATTTACAGGTACTCCTTGACTTACAACCATTCATTTAACAGCCATTTAAAGTTACAATGGCACTGAAAAATGTGATTTAGGACCTTCCTCATGCTTACAACTATCACAACTTCCCCATGATCTAGTGATCAGCATTTGGGCCCTTGGCAACCATCGTGCATTTATGATGGTTGTAGTCTCCCAAGGCCACCATTTGTGGTCACCTTTGTGACCTTCTCAGCTGACCTGTGAAAAGCAAGGTCAATGGGGGAAGCCAAGTTTGTTTAACAACTACTTGATTCATTTAACCACCATGGCAAAAAAGATCATTAAAATGGGGTGCAACTTACTTAACAACCAACTTGCTTGGCAACCGAAATTCTGGTCCCAATCGGGGTCTTAAGGACTATCTATATTAGCTAGCTAGTGTTCTTGAAGTTCAACTCTTGGCTTATTTCTCAGTTTCTGAATAAAGTACATGATTATCTGTAGAATTGTCTCCTATGCGTGGGTGGTATGAATTACCTTTTTGTCCATCTTCCTTTCAGGTTTACTAGTTTCTCCTTAAGTCATGAATGCAGATTTGCACATAAAGAGGAATACATGATCCTAACTCTTTTTTTTAATGGTTGAATCTACAGTTGGCGAATACTGAAAAGGATATCAGGATACGATCTACCATTCTTATGAATTGAGCTTTCTGATTGGAATTTATACATTTGAATATAGTATAAATTTGTATTCAATTTTCGACAAGAGAGTGGACAGCCATTTGTCCAGAATGGCATAGGGCAGAGGGATGGACTAGAAGACCTCTAAGGTCCTTTCTAGCCCCAAAATTCTATGTTCTCTGAAGCTTTGGTTCAGCAGGGAAAGCATGACTTGGAGTTCTTTCCACACATTGAGTTAGTGCTGAGCTGCAGTTTGAGCACCTTGGGTGAGCTGTACTCTATAGAAGGATGCATAGCATAGAATAGTGGTAGGCAGGCAGACACAATTCCCCTGTACTGTAAGTACTTCAGGAGGTGGAATTATACTACTGACTCTAGTATTCCAAACTATTTTTCAAGCAGGCTGCAATTATCATGAGTAGCAAGCTAAATGACAAAAACCAGCTTGGTGCTAGATCCATCAACCAAAGCCTAGATATAAGCCATAGTACATGGCAGAGAGGCAATTTACCACACTTTCTTGCTTGGAACTACTGTCTGTATTTTAATCACTAGCAGTAATAATTCCTGCAATAGGTTCAACATTAGCCCAAGGATACATGGTGCATATGTTAATATACATGTGCTGTCATGAAGAACGTGGTCGTGATATTTTAGACCATTTTTGGTCTAAAATATCATGACTGCTTTGGTGCGGTCAGTGAAAGATATGCACATGGAGCTTTTTTAAAAAATCCCTCAATCAACATTCCTAATTAAAAAATGAGGTCTGTTGAAATGATGCTGTGGTTCCACTCATATCATAAACCTAACTCTGTGGCTCTTTGAGGAAAATTGTACAGTATATGTTGGTACGGTATGCATTTTGAAAGAAGCAGCTTTCTCAGTTGTATATTAGCTTGCGTCAGTGGGAAGATAAAATAGGAAATAAATTCATTTATAAGACTGTGTGTTGTATTTAGGCAAACAAGCCACACTTCTTTTGGTTGCTCTGGGTATGATTGGGAAGAGCAAGTTGCAGAGGCTGACACAGAAGCCTCGTGCATTTACAAGTAAATGTGTGGTCAGTCCACACATACAAGTAAATGTGTGGTCAATCCAGACATTTTCCCATGTGCACTTTGTCTAAACTTACGTTTTTTGTTCCTTCAAACTAATACAGTATTCATGCAAGATGGTTGAAGTGACTTTTCAGCTTTGTGCCAATGTGATGGTATGTGGAAATAAATCTTTTCTTTTAAAACTGGGGAAGTTATCTTCCTTGTTCCTTTTGGAAGTTTTGGCTCCCATTTGCAAATTTACCTGTGTAGAAATTGATGCAATAAGCTATTTTTTACTGACTCAAAGACCGGATTGTCAAAAAGCTAGCCACTTCCTCAGAATCACATACCCCAGTTCCAAGAGGCCACACCTCTATGATTTCAGCCTGGCTCTATTGTGTAACTAACTTGTCCGTTTGGTTCCAAACAAGATTAATTGTGCAGAGGAATTAGGGCTAATTAAAACCTCATTTTTCTTATAACTGCTGCTATGTCCTTTTGAAGGCTGCCATCTCTTCCAGAATCTGCTGTAATTTATTGTACTTCCGTGTCCTTATGAGTTCATTTTCCTTATCTTTAAATTTACAAAGGAATGTATACAATATTAAAGGATCTGGATCTCATTCCTAGATTATAAGGCTCATTACTGGAATTAAATAGGGGAACAGTCTTTGTGTGATCCTGGTGGGAAACATGTTGCTGTTATTTACAAATTATTTTCTTACAATGGGTCAAAGAGAATATAGGTAGGTCTCAGTTAGTACAATTAATGAACCTCACAAAATGATCACATTATTTGAATTTGCACTATTCAAAGTGATATTTCTATGAAATAACTCAATAGAAATAGGTAAATTTTTAGACATAATTTCTTTGTGTATATTAATGAAATATTACTGTAAAAGATAAAAAGTATATACTTACTTCAATTTGTGTTAACCAAAGTTACAATGTATTTCTAGAAAGCAAAAGCAAAAGAAAATCCTTTAAATATCATTCCTAAAAATAAGCTTACACTGATGAAAATATCTCTCAATCTTGTAAATATTTGCAAATCACAAAAAAACAGATGCAACTTTAACTTTTTTCTTTAATTTTCCCCGCTTTTTTAATAATACTGTGCACAATAGATTTAGACATTCCAAAATCTTATCCTATTTTAGTATTGCTATAACCACGTTCCTGTCATTCAATTAAATGAGAATGTTGCTTTGCTGTAATAATACCCCCCCCCCATTTTTTTTGAGCTTGTACTGTTTTTCTCTGATGGAATTTTCATTTTATCTATTTTACACACATGAAGATGAGCAGTGTCTAAAACTGCAATTGCACATGTGCTGGCTCAATTGCACACATGCTAGTCTCAGCCTTAACTGAATTTTGGGTTGCCTCAAATGGGACCTGGTATCAATTTACAATTTGCGTTAAATCAAATATCTCATTATTTGAACATGTACCAAAGCAACGTTTCTGTGTGCATAAATACTTATCTTGCCAAAAAAACCCCTCCAGGTGATTCTCTCTCTCTCTCTCTCTCTCTCTCTCTCTCTCTCTCTCTCTCTCTCTCTCTCTCTCTCTCTCTCTCTCTCTCTCCCTCTCCCTCCCTCCCTCCCTCTCTCTCTCCCTCTCTCTCTCCCTCCCTCTTTCTCCCTCCCCCTCTCTCTCTCTCATTTTTACCAAGAAAGGATTTTACATAAAATTAAAACACTACAAAAACTTAAAAAGTAGAATAAAAGAAAAAGAAAACAAGAAAGGAGTGAAAAAATATCACAAGATACTTAGATCATCTTTGTAGCAGTTACAAGCATAATTATTATCATAGCCACTTTCTTTCCATAAACAACCCTTTTAATCAATAAGTCCTGAAATCATTTAATTCATTTTTGTCCATTTTTAGCAAAAACTCCTTAAAGAGTTTATAAAAATAATTGTTGCTCTTTCCTTAATCAAAAACTCTGGGTGCTTTTCTGGTATTGGGAAAAGTCAGTAACTGTCCAGCCATGTTCAGGGCACACACAGTAGAACAAAGCTAGAACTTTCAGACCCTGTTGAAAACTGTTTCCACAGAATTTAGTGGCATTTCTATAGCTACACTGAGCGATCAGGACTGAGACTGTGTCTTCCCAACCACCACAGCCTAGACTTTGGGGTTTGTTTGTTTTTTACCCCATACAGCATGGATGTCACAATCTTTGTGGCACCTGTAGGGCATGAAACTGTAGGAAGCTTAGGCCAAATTGTGCCCTTCCTGTTATTTTCCTCTTTTTCATCATTTCCTATTTGCAACTATTTAGCACTGCAAAAAAGATGGTGCCATAGAACATAGCACTTCAAAATAGAATAAAGGCGCTCTCCATTTAGGTAGGGGAGGATTTTGGTGGCACTCACAATCATCCTTCTGATTTTTCTGGAATTTGTCTCTCTGTATGCTTCTCAGGTTTGGAAGAAGATGGTAAGATTCCACAGATTAACTAAAGCTTTGAGAAGAGTGCACCTTTGATGAAGGAATAAATTGCTGGACATCAGCCGTGATGAGGCTACTCCGAAGGCATTATGGCCCACTAAAGCTAGCTTTGGTGGGTGTTGTCTTTGTAATCTTCCTCTTCATAATGCAAAGAGATGTGGGCAGTGGGGAACAAAAGGAGGAGCCATGGCTAAAAAATATTGTGGAGAGGAAAGACCAGATGATAGACATAATGATGGGAGCTGTCAACAATATCCGTGACTCTATGCCAAAGCTGCAGATCCGGGCACCTGCTCAACAAGAGGCACTTGAGCAGGACAGCAAGTCTTGCTTGCCAGGCTATTATACACCAGCAGAACTGAAGCCCTTCATGGAGCGTCCACCACAGGACCCCAATAGCCCTGGTGCTGATGGAAAAGCTTTCAAGAAGGACCAGTGGACACAAGAAGAGACAAAGGAGAAAGAACGTGGATATGAGAAGCACTGTTTTAATGCCTATGCCAGTGACCGCATTTCTCTTCAGAGGGCGTTGGGACCTGACAGTAGGCCTCCAGAGTAAGTTTTTCTTTTCTTCTCTCACTTCTTATACCGTGTTTTCCCCAAAATAAAACCCAACTGGAAAATAAGCCCTAGCATGATTTTTCAGGATGCTCATAATATAAGCCCTACCCCAAAATAAGCCCCAGTTAAAATTGTCAGCCAGATGGACACATTTAGTATTGTATTTCCCCAAATATAAGCCCTAACCGGAAAATAAGCCCTAATGTGTGTTTTGAAGCAAAAATTAATATAAGACGTAGCTTTAATTTCAGGGAAATACAGGTAGAAATACTGTTTCAAAGCAACCTAGGATGAATATTAGCAGCCATTTGCTTTATCACATTGGGCATGCAATCACATGGGAAATGGACTATTTGCTAGATGGGAGACTGTTACCAGTCTACTATTATTTGGGTTTTTTTTAATTTAGGTAGAGATATATAATAAAATTACGGTATCTCCGTGTTAATCAGTAATTGCTGCTCATATGTTTGCATGCCCAGTGGAATAAGATTTCAGCTTTATATCTGTGGAATGAATTTTATGGGAATATTGATTAAGATGGTATTCCTGAACTTTCTGGTTAATTCTTCAGCCTTTTAGATGTTAATTAAACTCCGTCTCTGAATTCTAGCAACTACTCACCATTTCTTAAATACAGAGAGTTTGATTTTGTATGTTCATACTACATTTAGTTAAGATGGGTAGATAAATAGGTTTGTAGAGAAAAATGGTCCCTAATGCCTTTTAAAGCAGGGTCCCTAACCTCGTGCTGCTACCTATTACGTACCAGACTGTGGCCTGTTCAGAACCAGGCCACACAAACAGCCGGCAAGCATGTGTGTGCACACAGTTCCATGTGTGCAAGCAGTGGGCATTCGTGCTCGTGCATGCAGCTTCATTTACACAAGCTCAAACGTGCGCCTGCCACTTGCCCAGATTGAGTTGTGCGTGCTCATGAACGCACATCTTGCTCGCACCAATCCATCCCCTCTTCCCCCCCCCCCAAGCCGGAAAGGTTGGGGACCACTGTTTTAAAGCATCTAAATGTCTGGTATTGATATGCAGAAAGAGAATGTTTGCTGTTTTGCAGAACATCTTGTTCCCTTGGAAGAGTAAGAATGTGACTCCTGTGGATACTAACTCAAATTGTGGGAAATCTGCAGCCCTCCAGATACTACTCAAATACAACTCCCAGCAGCCTCAGTCAGCATGACTAATAGTGAAGGTGCTGAGGGTTATAATTCAGCAACATCTGGAGGATCAGAAGCATCCCATCCAATTTATAGATAAAATACAGTTTCCGCTCTCAAGTTAAATCTTACAGATGATATTTCAGATTTAATCGGGAGGATGCATGTGTCTTGGGCTTTTATTTTAGATCAAATCATGACTACATTACCAAAAAGGCATTTATGTGCTTATTTATTTGCAGGGGGTTCTAGCTCATAGATCAGGTTAGAAACACTTAGTACAACATCAACAACTTCTGATACTTGGGAAGGACTTGATAGGATAAAAATGCAATATCTGGTCTAAACCTCTAACTGACTGTGCAGTGTAACACAGTAATAATTTGAAATATCCAGACTTGCAGATCAAAGTTAGCTTATACAAATCTGTTATATAAATTGTGATTGAAGCCCTTGGAGCGATATCTAAAGAACTTCCTCAATATCTAGAAATACTTAATTTATCAGACATGAATACCCTAATTTTACAAAAAAAAAAAAAAAAAAAAAAGATCACCCTGCTTGGAACTTCAACACTACCTTAATAATTCTTAGGTCTTTGTTTAGGATTTGAATTGTCAGATTTCCACCAGTCTTATATTGAATCTAACTATAGATTACCCACATATAATACAAATAGTCCTTTACTTACGACCATAATGCAGCCTACACATTATGATTGTAAACTGTAATGGTTGTTAAGTAGATCAGCACATAACTGATTTAATCTTACGACCTATTTTTATGGCAATCATTAAATGAACCCATTGTTTGCTATGGGACATTTTTGCCAAAATCTGGAAATGAACACCAGTTGTCTGCAAAAAAATACAGCAAATCACAGTCATGTGACTATGGGACACTGCAAATAGCCATGAATGCAGACCTATTGCCAAGTGCCTGAAATGCAGTCATGTGACTGGGGAGAAGGAGGCAATAGAAGTTCTGAACTGGGTCACAAGTACCTTTTCAGAGGTCCATTGTAACTTTGGTTGCTAAATGCCAAGTCATAAGTCGAGGACTACCTGAAATAATGATAACGTTGCTATCATTCACCACCTTCCCTGAGCCAGTACAAATACTCAATTCTTAACAGACTTCTCAAATGCTAAAAGGAGCTCAGCGACTATGGAACAAAGTTGTTTAAGGAAGCTCCTCTTTAAAGAATTGTATCAGTGCTGCTGCTAGTCATTGCTCACCTTCTCCATTTGAAAAGTAAGAGGATTTGTGGCTTTCATGCCCATGATGCCCTATGGTAGAATTATACTTCTCAGCAGCTCCGCAGTGATTGGGAAAGCCATAGCATGGACTACAATTGGAAATTGATTTTGCTGTATCGTCAGCTTGAATACTGGCAGCACATTTGCATGCATTGCATATGGGCAGAAATGTTTTTTCCAACACCTCCCATATTTCAGTATTATTCAGTAGAATATTAAATATTCTAATGTAGCATTGTGTACTGTAGTATCTTCAAGCTTATTTGATTCTGTGCCCTGTCTCCTTAGATATCAGTACTGAATGCCTCCTTCCTTACTCTTTCTTTGATCTAGAACAGGGGTAAGCAACTTTGGCTCTTTTATGACTCATGGACTTCAACTCCCAGAATCCCTGAGCCAGCGTGGCTCAGCTTGGAAACCTCTTCCTTTCCCCTCAGCATGGCTGGCTCAGGAATTCTGGGAGTTGAAGTCCACAAGTCATAAAAGAGCCAAGGTTGCCTACCTCTGATCTAGAAAAATGCTGTTGCTGCATTGAGAGGCTTGCCAGGGAACTATGCAGTTGAGTTATCAACACCTACATATGGCTGAAATGATTTATAAACAATACAATATAATAAAAATTCCACTACACTAAACTATTATTATTATTCATAAAATAAATGGAACTTTTTAGTCCCATATTTATTCTGAATATAATCTATCCATCTTCTCCAAGCCGAAATGTATCTTTCTTGTGAATAATCCTTCAAATAAGCAGAAATCTTAGCCATTTCTGCTAAATTTGACACTTTAAGCGTCCATTCTTCTATAGTAGGCAAACAATCCTTCTTCCAATATTGCCCTACCTATTATGCTTACTTTTATCTGGGACTTCTAAAAGATTATATACTGGTGAAGTTTAACATTATCTCCTTTTCCATGTCATAATGATAGGACCAAATTAGGTCTGAACCAGAACGCTTCTGATAGGTGATATTTTCTGAATCTACTTGAAGTTCTTTCTCCTCATTGTCTCATAGATTTATCCTGCTTAGAAGCCCATGGACCTTTAAATTACTAAACATTCTTGTCCCCAGTTGAAGCAAGAAAATTTCAAAAATTCTAGGGTTTTTGCAGGGAATCGGGGGCAACATGCTTTATATATCAGCTGTTAGGAAGCGACAACAAAAAAAGTTGGTGTTTTCCTGGCCCTATATGTAAGCTTCTAGAATGCATTTGCTTGGCCACTCTAGAAACACCAAATATTAGATCAGTTTAACCAAACACAACCAATTTAACAGGTCACTTCTTATGGGTTCTCTTTCCTTGCCATTAATTTGCATTTCTCTTCTTCTTTGTCAGTTATGACTGTATGTGCATCACCTTACAAAAAAGCAACGTTGGCATGCCATATGTGCATTAATAGATAAATTGCATGCCTTAGCCATAAAGGTATGTCATATCCCGCCTTGTTAACAGAAGGACTCCATGAATTAGGCTACTAAACTGTTAATTGTACTTTTGGATCCTGCTTGGTTAAGTTACTTTTGTACTCGTCTCTCTATCTATCTATCTATCTATCTATCTATCTATCTATCTATCTATCTATCTATCTATCATTACTCCCAGACATTTAGTGTTTCAAGTATTGAACTTCAGTGCCCCTGAAAAACGTGCCTTTAGGATTCAGACCTCCTCCTTCAAATGGCTGTGAAAGAGTGTCCATTTACCAAAACTGCCAGAGTGCAGTTTTGCCTAGCTTCTTTGTTTGCAAGTGTAAAAAAGAAAGGAGCCCAGTGCCTCTGATTCTAGCTATATCCATACATTAGTGGGCAGTGACAAGTGGGTTGGAAGGGAGGGGAAGAGGAGAAAAGACCACAAAGATTAACTCTTAACTGATTTCCTTTCATCTCTGATTTAAGAAAAGAAAAGAAAAAAGCCCAGGGTTCAGTTCTACTTTTAAATTTTCCGATGCTTGCCCCCTCCTGCCGCCCTTCACTCTTTTACCTTGTAGTGCCACCGTTGCCCCATTTACAGAGCGGTGAACATGGACAATTGTGGCCTTTTTCAATACATAAATAAGAAAAGGGGTTGCTCAAGTTCAAAAACTTCCTTGATTACATCTGTCCCCTGCCCTTGGTTTCGGTCCATTTCCTCTCGCTCTGAGAAGCTCCGCTGCCTCCATAATTTTTCACTTTGCTCGCCCAGTGGAACAGGCAGGGCTTACAGTACAGCAGGAGGGTGAGGAAGGAGGCAGACGTGAGGCTTGCCTCCCCTTCCCCTTCCCCTGTGGTCTGCTGCCGAAAGGCTTTCTAAGGCCGCTGCTGCAGCTTTTCATAAGGGGGATAAGTCAGTCAAAGGAGCCAACAAAAGGCAGCTTGAATAAGGGCTTAAGACTAGGCCCGGTTGGCAGACAGTTTTCTCTCTTCAACTTACCTCCTACCCTTCTGACAGCTGATTATTTCTGCCTAGCAGGTGTAGATATCACAATAGAAGAAGGCTGTGTTCAAGGCAGAGGGCAAGGAATGTTATTCAGTCAACTCAAAAAAGCATAAAACCAATTTCAATTAAAGGGTGTAAAGCCCTCCCAGAACCAAACCATAAATCGGGGAAATTGGCTCTGATGGAGGAGGGAGCCTGTGAATGAAACTTTTTATTGTTGACTGCTTTGGAGAGGAGGGAGGGGAAGGCCTGATCTGCCATGTGGAACATTTCCCCCCTCTTTTTTTTTTTTATGTGCCCTAGAGGTATGCAGCACGTAAGGGACCCCTCTCTCTCTTCCTGCTGAAAGATTCAAGGGTGGGATGGGTAGTGGAGTCAAAAGAGATTGCTATAAAGTGGAAGCCTCTTTTTAACAAAAAATGATTTGAATTCTCTGACTTTCGGCCAAGCATCCCTGCACAGGATTTCATCTCACATAGACCTAGAACATACCACATAAGTACAAAAAAAAAAAAAAAAAAGCTTATTCCTTCAAGTTAATGGGACTTTGTGGTTGGTTTACAGTCAGGTCCTCTTTTGCAACAGGATGAATAATCTAGTCACGAGAAAAGCAAGAGTGTGGGTCTGTGTTACTGCTGCCGCAAAATATTTTAAAGGGCTTCCTAGGTGTGTATGTGTGTTTGTGTGTGTATTGGGGGAGACACTTTCGACTCCTGGAGCTCAAAAAAAATGAAGGGGTGCCACTTTCTCATCGGGTGTTGTTTCATCTTGAAAATATGTGCAATGTGAGCCTTCTGTATTTCTATAGAGCACACATTTATGGCCTTATACAGGTACTCCTCAACTGACAACCAAAGTTACAATGGCACTTTAAAAAAATGGTTTCTTTGTTTTACTGTTTTTCACACAACGACTGTTGTAGCATCCCCATGATCATGTGATCAAAATTCAGACACTCGGCCACTGGCACGTATTTATTATGATGGTTGCAGTGTCCTGGGATCATGTGATCCCCTTTTGTGACCTTCTGACCAGCAAAGTCAATGAGGAAGCCAGATTCACTTAACAACCGTGTTCCCAACTTAACATCTGCAGTGGTTCACTTTACAATTGTGGCAAGAAAAGGTCGTAAAATGTGGCAAAACCTACTTAAAAACTGTCTCACTCAGCAACAGAAATTTTGGGCTCAATTGTGGCCGTATGTACACAGCAAAATGGGCTTGTATACTAGCCATACATACCAAAGAACATTTTATCTGTTTTAAAGCAGAGCATCGCTTGCAATCACAGTAAGTGTTCTTACATTTTTTTGCATGTGTAGGTCCGTATGGATTTTATTTTTTAAACAAACAAAGCTCTCTGAATGTTTTCTTTTTTTAAATCTCAGCATCAACTCTTGCAGCAACTTGCCAAGCCTTAAAGCAGTGGTTCTCAACCTTTCTAATGCCGTGACCCCATAATACAGTTCCCTATGTTGTGGTGACCCCCAAGTGGGTGTGGCCACCAATAAGAGGGAGTAGGACAGCTAGGGAAAAGGGAAAAAAATGGCGGACAGCATGGTTTGGTGACCCCCATGAAATGGTCGTTTGACCCCAAATGGGGTCCCGACCCACAGGTTGAGAACCACTGCCTTAAAGGGTCGTTCTCCTCTGATTCCACAAGTTACAAAGGTCCACAGATTCTCCATGCCTGTTGTAACGATATGTAAATAGTTTACATATTACCTGATAGATACTGTATATAAAGTGGAGAGGGGTATGAAAAATGTTGACACTGAATATCAGTACTGTACCAAGTGGTGGCCAGTGGATATGTTTTATCTTTCTGCACACAGCATGTCACAATGCATGATATGTGAAAAATAAGTCAAGATTAATCCAATAAATCAGTGGTTCTCAACCTGTGGGTCGGGACCCTATTTGGGGTCGAACGACCATTTCACGGAGGTCGCCAAACAACGCAGTCTGCCATTTGTTCCCCCTTTTCCTTAGCTGTGCTACTCCCTTTTATTCTATTGGCTTTTGAAAGCCAATAGAATAGACTCTCTTGAATAGAGTCTAATTCTATTGGATTTCAAAAGCCAATAGGAATTGTCCAGGCTGTCTCTGTCCCATTCTGCAAACGGTGCTGCACTAATTGAGCAGTCCTCAACTTATGACCGGTTAAGCAGTCCTCGACTTACGACCGGTTGGGGGTCGCGGCATTAATAAGGTTGAGAACCACTGCAATAAATAAACGAACATATTAACACAGGGATAAGCAACCACAGATTTCAGTGCTCCTCTCTTCTCCTCCAGCTTAGGACTTAAGATGTACAGGGCAACTTAAAGCCCTCAGATCCATTTTTCACAGCTCTTGGAAACCTTTAGTGGAGTAAACATTGAAAGTCGGAGGTGCGGATTGGAAAAGACATAGAAATAGAAGCATAACCTAAGCTAAGAAAACATACATTAAACCAATAAACATAGATTAAACAACTATTATAAAAGAAAAGAAAACTCCCATTATCATATAGATTTCAAATCCCAAATCACATTATCATACAGATACCACTTTCTCTCCAATCTTCTCCCACTCTCTCCACTATGGCACTCTCTTCCCTCAAAGAGGAAAAAAAAAACTATTGGCAACATCTCCCAAATTTTTTGAAGATATTTGCCTCCAGCATTACAATTTCACTTATCCTCAAAAATTGCCCAAGGTTTGTTGGGTATTTAAGGTAGCCAGGTTTTCTCATTATGGCTGTTATCAGGGGAGTGCCCAGATTAACCAATAGTTCTTGGAATGAACTAGGATCCGACTTTTTTCAGTAGACCATAGTTTAATTGTGCCATGTTTTCTAGATGATACCATATACTGCAATTAGTCAGACGACAGGAAGCAGAAGCTCCCGATTATTTATCATGTGTGCAGCAGTGAATGATGGTTTCTTTTTGTATCTGAATGGCCAGCCTTGGCAAAGGATCATAAACTAAAATGAACAAAAAGATCTTCATTGTATCTTTCTGTTTTACAGCTAAGCTTGCAAACAATGGCAGTTGTTAGTCCCTAAATCTTAAGAGAATAAATGATTCTCTCTCTCTCTCCCTCCCTCCCTCCCTCCCTCTCCCCTCCCCTCAGTAGTCTGCTTCCATTCACAAGCACATAGCAGGGAACCAATTGAGACCCTTCATTGTTGTGGCCTTTTTTCAGGGATGTAATTCATGACCTCATCCTGTGACCTACAGGCACTTAAGGGCAAGGTAAAAGAGGGATGAAGCAGCCTGGACTAGTACCCAAATGCAATAGAGCGGATTTCAGCAGATCTTTACTCCCTTGCAGTACTAAAGCACTAAACTGCACCTGCTAAACTCACCCTTGCAAATCTATTTATGGGCCTGCTCAGAACTAACATAGTTAAGTGACTAAGAGCCCTCAAGCACAAGGAATCATTTCAAAGGTTAACTTTGCCATAAATTTGCTAAGTTGCCTGGTTTGAATGCTGCCTCTCTCAGCCCCCATTTTCCACAATATGAAACTCAAAGTAGCACCAAAAATGTTGGTTGGGGTGATGTCTAAGTAGCCAGAGCTACTGTGTTGACTCTGAGAGAGTCCATATACCTTAATTAAAACAACTGAAGATTTATAAAATAGTTACGGTACAAGCTTAGTGCCAGACATGGGTCTATAGGCAGGGGAAGAGAAAACGTGTCGCCAGGCTCATTCCCACAGCACTATGCAGTATTTTCGTATTAAATCTGAATGTGTAGTTTTGGTGGTTTGTGGTATGGCAATGGGAGGTCTTCAGATCAAGAACTCACATGCTTTGACAGATTATAGATCTTATACCCAGTACTTTAGACATATATCTTAGCTCAGATATGGCCATCTTAAGCTATATGGGCAGCCAAGCATAATAGTCAGGACACATAGGTCCCAGAACCCCAGAGAGTCCAAGTTAATTTGGAAAATTCTGGTGTTGGAAGGACATAATGTTTCAATTCCAGATACCAAGAACACGTAGTAAGCACATTTTGTCCTATAGACAAATTTATCCTTGGGATGTAGCCATTTTCTCAGACCCCAAATTAAGGGATTACAGGGTCATAAAAAGGAAGTTGTATATATCTGTATATATGGTAAAACTGAAATAATATCTATTTACAAGAAGGGTTTTCTTAAATAACCCCAAAGTGCTAAAAAACCGTATGTATTAAACTAAACATTGTATTGTATAACTCTATAATTCTTGGATGCAGAGCCTATCTAGCTGTTTATTATATAATTAATGAAGTGCTCCTATCTAATTTTAATTTTAATTTAGATTTAATGTTCCTTTTACAGGTGCATCGATCAAAAGTTCAAACGCTGCCCACCTCTTCCAACCACCAGTGTCATTATCGTCTTTCATAACGAAGCTTGGTCCACTTTGCTTCGCACCGTCTATAGTGTGCTGTACTCTTCTCCAGCTATATTGTTAAAGGAAATCATTCTTGTGGACGATGCCAGTACAGATGGCAAGTATAATCCTTTTGAAAGTGTGTGTGTGTGTGTATGTGTGCTTGTGTGTATTGTTCCTGAAAGGCAATGAACTATCCTCTATGTAAGAAATATTTTAAGACTGTTAGATCATAATATCCTATTTGCTTTAAGAACTACATTACCTAGTACCCGCATTTATATCTAGGGATAGGACAGCTAGTGTTCCTTTCTCTGTTGGAGAGATCCAATCTAAGTAGGTTAAAGTTAAGGACTGTATAAAGCAGGGGTCTTCAAACTTGACCCTTTTATGACTTGTGGACTTCAACTCCCAGAATTCCTCAGCCAGGCACTTGTGATATACAGCCAAAGCAAGGAAGGTCCTTGAAATCCCCCATCTACAATGAGCACCTGAACGTCAGATTATGGGCATTCAGCTTTTTTCATCAACCTTGCCTCCCGTGCTACAAAAGATGACATGAGGAGAAACAGATCCATTATTTTGGAGTAACAAGTCAAAGTTCAGACCTAGGTTCAAAAATGTTGCCAGTCCCAAAACAAGCTGTTTATACTGGAATACCCTGAATTAGTTTTCTCTTAAGGAATGGGCCAAAATTCCTACCCCGCAATGTGAAAAATTGATCACCAGTTAGCTTTTGGTTACGGTTACTGAGCTAAAGTTAGTGCAGCCAGCAGCAGCCACTGAAATCTAAGGAGGCAATTATATATGTTTATTTTCATGCTGCCATGTCACATGTTGTTTGGCTTTCTATATGCAATAAATTAAGCAAGCACCACACTTTGGTGTTACCCATTAACTCAGACTCTAGAACACATGTGAATATAATATCCTGCAGCAAAGATATATAAAAATGTAGAAAACCCGAAACAGGTCAAATATCTTGTCACAGAATTGTATTTAGCCTCTGTCCAAACTACTCAGCCAGGCAAGTATAGAAACCACAAACTGTATTTAGCAATCTAAATTGGTTATACTTCAGATTAAGATAATGACATGGTTCAACATGATGGCTTGTATATTGTACCTCAGCTTGCTTTCCTGGCTCTCTGCTACTCAAGGTTTTCAAAGGGCCAGTAAAGATACTACAATTAAAGGTTTCCTAAGGTTTTTTCTTAAAAAAACATACCAATGAGTTGCAAGTTTTAATACCAGCTTGTTCATACTATCTCACAGGCTGACCCATTATTTCTGCTTTCATCTTAGATTTAAATCTTTCTTTTCTATTCCACTCTGCATCCATTTTTTGCTTTCTCTCTAAATCTCTTTAAATTGTCTCCAACTTTGCCCCTCCATATATAGAACAATACCATTTTCCAAGAGGCAGGGAAGATTATCTTGGACGTTCCTCCTATGTATCTTTTCCTGTGTCCCTAGCTCCAGATTTTTACAATGCAATATTTTATATTATGGTAGCAGTTAGACAAACAACAACACAATTAGTCAATATGAAATCTATTAATGGAAAAAACAATGGAGTTTATTTTTTTCCCATCTAATAAGATTAGTATTTTAACCATTTATAGAGCCAATCAAATGCCTACAGGTAGTCTTCAACTTATGAAGATAGAAATTTTAGGCTCAGTGTAATACAAAAAAATATAATTTTAAAGGCTTGTTTAGAATCCTTATAATTATGTACGTACCTCCAGCAATACAGGTAGTCCTCAACTTGTGATCTCAATTGAGCCCATTTCTGCTAAGCAAGGCAGTTTTTAAGGGAGTTTTTTTCCATTTTACAACCGATCTTGTTGCAGTTGTTAAGTTAGTTACACAGTTGATAAATGAATCTGGTTTCCCCATTGACTTTGATTGTCAGAAAATAGCAAAAGGTGATCACATGACCCCAGGACACTGCAACCATCATAAATACATGCCAGTTGCCAAGTGCCTGAATTTTGATCACCTGACCCTGGGGATGCTGCAACAATCGTAAATGTGAAAAACGGTCATAAGTCACTTTTTTCAGTGCTGTTATAACTTTGGTCATAAGTCAAGGACTACTTGTATTAGCCTCAAACCGTGAACACAGGTGAGTACAGAAAGTAGTGGGTATCCAAACAAGATTGGGTTCTTTGGTTTCAGAGGTATTGCATTAGGGACCCAAGCATAGGTCAAGATGTGGAGGCTGGCCAGCCTGTTTTTGAAGGACCCATACTTGCTTCCAAGAGGCTGTACATCTTTTCCAGTATTGTATGCTGGGTCCTGCTTTTACCAAGTCAGATTATTGAGTCTTGTATCCAAAGGTATCTTCCATGGCACAGTGTCAGAGAAATGCAGGAGGAGGCATCTTCCTCCTGTTTATCCTTACAATGTTTCTGTAGTTCATAGGTTTTAGAAATTGTTGTTGTTGTTAGTTGCGAAGTTATGTCCGACCCATCGCGACCCCATGGACAACGTTCTTCCAGGCCTTCCTGTCCTCTACCATCTTCTGGAGTCCATTTAAGCTCACGCCTTCGCTTCAGTGACTGCATCCATCCACCTCATTCTCTGTCGTCCCCTTCTTCTATTGCCCTCAATCTTTCCCAGTGTTAGGCTCTTCTCCAGTGAGTCCTTCCTTCTCATTAGGTGGCCAAAGTACTTGAGTTTCAACTTCAGGATCTGGCCTTCTAAAGAGCAGTCAGGGTTGATCTCATCTAGGACTGACTGGTTTGATCGCCTTGCAGTCCAGGGGACTCGCAAGAGTCTTTTCCAGCACCATAGTTCAAAGGTCTCCATTCTTTTGCGCTCAGCCTTTCTTATGGTCCAATTTTCAAAGCCATACATTGCAACTGGGAAAACCATGGCCCTGACTATACGTACTTTTGTTGGCAGGGTGATGGCTCTGCTTTTTAGTATGCTGTCTAGATTTGCCATAGCTTTCCTCCCCAGGAGCAAAGTCTTTTAATTTCTTGGCTGCAGTCCCCATCTGTGGTGATCTTGGAGCCCAGGAAGATAAAATCTGTCACTACCTCCATTTCTTCCCCATCTATTTGCCAGGAATTGAGAGGGCCGGATGCCATGATCTTGGTTTGCTTGATGTTGAGTTTCAAGCCAACTTTTGCACTCTCCTTCTTCACCTGCATCAATAGGCTTTTTAGTTCCTCTTCACTTTCTGCCGTTAGAGTGGTATCATCTGCATACCTTAGGTTGTTGATATTTCTCCCGGCAATCTTAATTCCAACTTTTGTTTCATCTAGCTCTGCCTTTCTCATGATGTGCTCTGCATATATGTTAAATAGGCAATTTTAGAAATTGTAGTAGATTAAATCGAGAGGAAGTGATTTCATCTAAAAATACTGGGGCTTCGTGGCTAAGTGATGCTATCCTGCTCCTGACTTGATATTGTTCCCCCACCTCATGCATTTTCTTACATGTTTCTCTAACCCTTTCCTTTGTCCCAGTCATGCTCCTGCTCCCACTCCCACTCCGTCAAAAGAGATCTTAAACCATCATTAATTTAACAATGGGAGTTTTAAGAGCTGCTTACTTCCACATCTGGAAATAATGTGGTTGAGAAGACTGTTCACGAGCAAACTGGTTGTAAAGTTTCTTGCTTCTTTTATCGGATTAAGCAGATCTCGTTTCCAGAAATAATAAGCAGCTTGTTCAAAGCAGTGTGGTCTTTGAAGCCCTGTATTTTGAAAAGTTTAATGTCCTCTTTGACTGCTTTGCTGTAGCTGCAACATTTAACTATGCAGCTATTTTAGAGATTTTGGCACATGATACTGTGCCAACATACAACACTGATACTGTATTTCTATGTTTTTCACTAAACCTGCCCTGCAGGAAAGGTGAGAAAACTAGTGCTTTATGTGAAAAGTATGCAGACATTTGGCTGGCAGCCTGCCCTTTAAAAGAGTTACTTTAAAATTGAAGAGTAAAATGCAAATAAATAAATTGATTCTGAAGACAGATTAATTGCTAGAGTTGTCCTAAGGTACCTTTGTTGCCACAGGTAGAACAGAGGTAGAACAGCAAATATAGTTGTGTAACAATCAAGTTACTTAATACCTGAGCCAGAAAAGATCACAGATTATTCTCTTTGGGAGGCAGGAAAAAAAAAAAACCAACCAGAAAGAGAAATTGAATATCTAGCAATTTTTCATGATACATCTTGAAGTAACTTTTCAATTTATCTAATGATAAGACCATTGCCAGACAATTCTAAGGATTCTCTTCAGTCTTCTGGCTTTTTATAATGGATGGGATGTTTCAGTAGTCTCTTTTCACACACCCCAAACTGATATTTATGCAGAACATGGAACAATAGGGTTAGAAGGGATCTGGGAAGTCTTCTAGTCCGACCTCTATTCGAGCAGGAGACTCTATACCATTCTGGACAATTGGTTGTCCAGTCTGTTCTTGAAATCCTCCAGTTATGAAGCCCCCCCCAACTTCCGGAGGCAAGCCATTCCAGTGATTAATTGGTCTCACTGTCAGGAAATTACTTTTTAGTTCTTGGTTGATTCTCTCTTTGATGTTCTTCCATCTGTTACTTCTTATCCTGCCCTCAGGTGCTTTGGAGAATAGGCCAACTCCTCTGTGACAGCCCCTGAAGTACCGGAAGACTGCTATCATATCATTACTAGTCTTTCTCTTCCTTAGACTAGACATACCCAATTACTCATCATATGTTTTAGCCTCCAGTCTCCTAATCATCTTTGGTGCTCTTCTCTGCCCTCTTTCTACAGTCTCAACTTCTTTTTTGTATCATGGTGACCAGAACTGGATGCAGTGTTCCAAGTATGATCTCGCCAATGCAGTATAAAGTAATATTATCATTTCACATGATCTTGAAATCATCCCTCTGTTAAGGCAGCCTAACACTGCATTGATATTTTTGCCAGCTTTTTTTTTTTTTTTTTGATAGATTAGTTCTCCAGTTGAGTCTTGGGTTTGTGCACGTATACAGAGATTACTGTTCCCCATTGCCTTCTCAAAATCAGGACTTTGGGAGGAAGAGTAGCATTTTCCTTGAGCAGTAGAGTCAAGGATGCATAAATTATGAGTTCCAGACATTTTGGAATGCCTGAGGCAGCATTTTGAGCAGGAAAGTACCTATTTGATTCAAAATCTCTACAGTTGTTGATACTTGTAGACAAAGGCCTGTGAGTTTTCCAAACATAAAAGACTTGTGTTTGTCTTTGAATTTTGTAATATATAGATGCCTAAATGGATTCTAAATTACCCTACAAGCATTAACTCACCCCATATGAATAATCAGTTGCCTATCATTTGCTTCCTTAGCTGGAAATTTTCCTAACAAAAGGCTGTGTGCCTGCTCTGAATTGCTTTGAACAAATATTCAGGACCATTAACCCCTTCCTATTCCCATCTTAGGCTAACACAAATATTCAGGACCATTAACCCCTTCCTATTCCCATCTTAGGCTAACGCCAGAACAGAAGGCAAGATCAATTCTTAGGAAAACAGTGCTTATTAGTTAAGTAAAAGAGAGTGGTTTGTTATCTCTTTTGTTGTCTATTATTTAGGTCAGTGTTTCCCAAACTTGACAATTTTAAGGCATGAGGACTTCAACTCCCAGAATTCCACAGCCAACAATGCTGGCTGTGGAATTCTGGGAGTTGAAGTCCACATGCCTTAAAATTGTCAAGTTTGGGAAACACTGATTTAGGTTGTGTATACAGGAAAAATTCCAAGACCAGTTTTGACCTTTGCTCATGAAAAATTTAAAATCAATAAGACTTTAACTAGTTAGAGTTTTAATTAATATAAAGAACAAGTAAACTGCCAACACTAAGAATTCTTTTTAATATATATTTTAATACAAATATCCTACACTTATTGGGCTATTTTGTTTAGGTTTTTGCTTGCTGTTGGGCTATGAAAACACACATGCACTCACACAGAGACAGAAAACTTCCCTATCTATCTGGTTTTAGGCTTCCTCACTTAAATATTATATTCTCCTGATAATAGATTTTTATCCTGCCTTTCCTGCGAAGAGTGATTACTCTCACCCACTGCCTTTATGCTCACAACAATCCAGATAAATTACAGATGCAAGGTCTTTATTGCTGTCCCTTCCTACCATTTGTTATCTTAAAACCAGATTTATTGAGTGATCTTCAAATGGAGGGCTTGTCAAGAACAGGACATCACCATACCATTCTATTCATACTGAAGAACGAAACAAAAGTATTAGCCTGTTATCCTGCACATAATCTGTCAATTTTAAAGAGAATGAAGTTCGTAAAAACCTCCAGTCTAATGTGGGGAAACAATATTTGGTTGCCCTAGTTCAGCCTGGCTCAGGAATTCTGGGAGTTGAAGTCCACGAGTCATAAAAGAGCCAAGGTTGGCTATCCCCATCCTAGTTAATCTAGCAACAATTTTTATTGTTGATGCTGTAGTAATCTATTATTTCTACTATATCCAAAGACTTCAGAGTTAGTGGGAGAGTGTGTTTATTCATATATATGTGACTGCAAGAAGACAACTCCTCAGCTACTTTGACTGAACGTTGCTTCTATTTTATAGTTGTCATTTTCCAATTCTGTGCTGTCATTTCCTGCCCTCTTCCTCTTCTGTACCACTATTATACCCTTCATATTCACAGCAGAGTTTTTCAGGTTGGCTGCAATTTACAAAGCTAACAATATGTCCCCACAGAGACTTGAACTGCTTCCTGGCCACAGGTTGCACCTGGCCACCAAAACTCTGGTCAGAGTAATTCTAAATAAGGACTTAGCTTTGATGCTAAGAGATGCTGTAACCCAGAGGGGGGAAAGGAATGAGAGAAACAGAGAAAGAGCCCCTTTTTTGTTCTCTGATAATAAATAGGGTTGTACAATTAATGCAAGCAATTGGATACGGACAGGCAAGACATTCAACATCTTTTTTTTCCCCAAATCTGATCCCTCCAAATATGTCAGACTCCATAATTGGATGTGCTCTAGGGACACCTAGTGAAGGAAAGGAGCCTGTAACTCTTAGATATTAGCATAAGAAAGGACGTCATTGAGAAGTATTATCTTCTGTTTGAAGATTGGGTGGAATTGCCTTGTATACACTCCTGAAATTAGTGCTAAGCAACAGAGCTAAAGTACTTAGATAAACTTTAAGGCATCTGTACAAAATCACCTATTTTCCCACCCCACCCCTATCCGATGAATACCTGCTTTCTTACTCAGTGCATTCTGCTTTTTTGATCAGTATACTTTCCCATGTCAACACTGCATGAAATGCTTAGATCCAGAACAGTCAGAGAGATAAATTATCACCCAGAATTGCTATTAGACTTGGAAACCTCTAATGCAGTTTGTTCTTCAAGGTTTAATTTTAATTGACTTTGAGTTCTTAAAAAAATGTATAGTGGCCTTGCTGCTCTTGTTGTCCATAGTGAACAAGGTTGTGAAAAGGCACTAGCATGTTCTGAACCGCTAGCTAAAGACCAGTGATATGAAAACATTTTCCAAATAATGGATAAGAAATTTGGGCAGCTATAAATTTAATGCTTTAATCAAATGTTGCTGGTGGGGGTTTTTTGTTGTTGTTGTTGTTTTGTTTTTGTTCTTTTGGTTATGGTGTGCTCCCCATTCTTGGATAGCAAGAATCATAGCAGATCTGAAGTGCAGCAAACTCTTCCACAGAGTTTGTGTCTGTTTGTTCAAAAGTATGGCGATCTGCTTTGAGGTATTTTGGAACCGCCCATCTCTCTCACAAAGGGACTCTGAGTGGTGTACCATAAAATATTAAAACATAAAAACAAAAGTTAAAATTTAAAAAAGAGGCAAAGGATGATTTAAAACAACGTTAAACATTAATTAAAAGGAAAAGGGAGGGCTTTCAGGGCACCTACCAACCCCATGGCCACGTGCTCCTATGTGAACCACAAGCAAGGCCGCACCACCATGCCTGCATACCTTTCTGAAAGGTCAGGCATGTGGGGCCACGTCTCACCTCAGGAAGGGGAGTGTTCCACACAAAGTGGGGACAAAGGCAGAGAAGGCTCACTTCCTGGATCCTGCCAGTTAAAATCCTTTTAACTGACAGGGTCTGCAACATACTTTCGCTGCCTGACCATGAGGGATGGGACAATGTAATGATACAAAGACAGTTCCATAGGTAACCTGGCCTCATGTTTGATGAATTCTCTTTCAGACTACTTGAAAGACGAGTTGGACAACTATGTGAAGCAATTGCAGGTAGTCAGAGTTGTCCGGCAGTTGGAGAGGAAGGGCTTAATAACTGCCCGATTGCTTGGTGCCAGTGTTGCCATGGGTGATGTCCTCACTTTCTTGGATGCTCATTGTAAGTAATAATTCTCTTTGTTGCTAAAGTCTGCCTTTTTTTTTCTTGACACACAGTGCCAGTTCATAGACGCATATGTGTTAATTCAGTGTCTCTCAACACATCTTACAGTTGCCCCGGTTGAGAAATACTCCATTAATTGATTGGTCTACATCTTGCGTTGGTTCACAGAACCATATTCACCCCTTGATTAGTCTCCATCCACCAATGAGCAGCCCATGTGTGGAATGGGTAATGGCAGACTTAATGCTACCGATTCTTGATCGTTGTGTCAAACATAATGACTTCAGTGAAGTCAAACAAGTGGATGGCATTTAAATGACCTAATTAACAAACTACTAAAAATGCTATTTTTATTCAAGATGTAAAGTAATAAAACTGCTTCTAACATGCTCAGATGCAGGTTGGATGCATCATCATCCAATATTTAATTGTAAAGGAAATGAAGTAGAATTGCTAGGAGTTGGGAACAGATGCATTCAATGCATTATTTACTTATTTAACGTCCATATAAGTGTCTCTGTCCCGGACGTACGTTCTGTTTCTCTAGTATATAGTATGTGGTATTAAAAAACCTTTAGATAAATTTGATTCTCAGAATGTTCAGTATATTTGCTTCAGCTATTTGTCTCTCCATTTTTACACCTCATATGATCTCTTCCCTCCATAGTTCTATTTTTGTCCAATTTGGCAAATTACTGAACGGCTCAATTTCTTTGAAAGATAGACTCAAGAGACATAAGGATATTGACAGACCTTAGCATTGAGCCCTATCCAATAAGATGCAGTCCTGTGCTGAAAAAGTTAGATAGGGCAGGCAGTGCCTGGCTCAACAGCAGTGCCTGTGAGAGGGATCTTGATGTCCTGGTGGACTACTGCTTACAGTAAGTATGAGTCAGCAGTGTACTGCAGCTGCCCAAAAAAAAAAAAAAAACCAACAGAGTCCTTTGCTGCATCAATAGTGCGATAGCATAAAGATCACAAGAACTGATAATATCACTAGTGAGACCACATTTGAAATACTACACCCAGTTCTAGTTACCACAATTCAAAAAAGGATGCTGAGGCTCTAGAAGGAGTGCAGAGAAGAGCAACAAAAATGATAAGGGATCTAGAGGCTAAAATCATACAATTAACAGCTAAGGGAACTAAGCATGCTTAGCCTAATGAGAAGAAGGCTTAGGGGAGACCTGATAGCAGCCTTCCAATACTAGAAGGGCTGTCATAGGGAAGAGGGCGTCAATTTATTCTCCAAGGCACCTAAGGGCAGGATAAGATGCAATGGATGGAAGCTCATCAGAGGGAGACCCAATCTGGAAATAAGGAGGAATTTTCTGATAGTGAAAACAGTGAGATCAATGGAACAGCTTGCTTCCTGGAGTCATTGGTGCCCCATCACTGAAGGTTTTCAGGAGAAGGTTGGACAACCACTTGTTCAGGATAGTATAAGGACTCTTGCCCTAGAAGACTTCCAAAGTCCCTTCCAGCCCTATGATTCTATAATTCTATGCATTGAAATTGACATCTGGACACATTAATACAAGTTTTCTTGGAAGCAATATGAAAGTGTTTTGCCATTGTCTTTTTCTGAAAAGGCATTATGTATTAGTCAGTCTAGCCTATGGCCCAGATAATTCCCAAACTGTTTATAATTCAAATAATAGCCAGATCTGGTCCTGGATGGATTCTGAGCCCAGAAGAGATCAGGTGTCCCTTGTCCTGCAAATGCTAAGGCTATAAATAGTGAGGTTTTTAAAAGAAAATTGGGGGTCCATATGGTTAAAGTGAACATTATGAGTTAAAGTGGTTAAAGTGAACATTATGGTTCATGGTTAAAGTGAACATTATGAGACAAATATTTGCAGAGTAGCAGTTCCTGAGCATCAGGTATCACTGAAAAACCAGAATGTGAGTGCAGTATCCATCAGGCGCAAGTAACCAGTGTTAGAAGTAAAGTCTTCATCCTGGTTCATCCAAGCCGGGAATAAATAAGCAAACATGGCGACTGCTTTGGGAAGAAGGTTACAGTTTATTGCAGAAAGATGGTTCTTCAGGAAAGTGCAGAGGAGAGAGAAGGGCAGAGAGCACAGAGAGAGATTGAGCACATGGGCAGTAGGTTTTATACCCCCCCTAGCCTTTTGTTTGGAATAGTTTCCTGTTCCTGTGGCATGAACCTTGAGACTGTTTCTGAGTGTTTGTCTAGGCCTTGATATCTGTGGTTTAATTCTGTTATCATATCCTGCTTCCCAGGTGATGGGGCTGACTCCTAGAGTTTGGGTGGGGTATGCAGATCTTCTCTTTTGTCTTCTTGATTGCTCTAGCTCCAACTTTCTGATGGTTTTACATTTGCATTTGTATAGGGCTAAAGTCTTGCTTGGGGCAGAGAGATAGATTTGGGGCCAAGTTTGGTTTTAAAAAGTCCTTTTGAGGAAAAATATATTTTTCTGCCCTTTTTAATATTTCCTTCTGGGCTAACTTTCATCACCAGGAACAGAAGTTTAGTTCAAAACACTTCAAGCTTATCACATGCTATCTATACACAAGAATCTGATCTACTAATGGTCAAGCTAAATTAGTGCTAGATAAAACTAAATGTAATTCAAGAAGGACTGGACTTAGGTCTCTTGTGGGAGCTCAGCAGCTTCAAACTAATGACACATTTGACCCCACCCTCGGGTTCACCCTGGTCATCTCCCACCTACAGCAACAACATTTGGAAATGGGCATTTTTTAAAATGTATTTATTTTTTACATCAAATGGTGTAGCATTTCCCGTTTCTCTTTTCTCAGGTGAATGTTTCCATGGATGGTTAGAGCCTCTCCTATCACGCATTGCTGAAGAGCCTACAGCTGTCGTCAGCCCTGATATCACCACCATTGATCTGAACACCTTTGAATTTTCCAAGCCCATCCAATATGGGAAGCAGCATAGTCGGGGAAACTTTGATTGGAGTCTCACTTTTGGCTGGGAGGCTATACCGCAACACGAGAAGCAGAGGAGAAAAGATGAGACTTATCCGATCAAGTAGGTTCAAGCTGAAAGTTTGATACCTTTGTTAAAGTGTCTCTGGGGAAATAATGGGTGGAAAGAGATTACATTAAAAAACCACATTTTTCCAAAGCAAGATTTTCAAGTTTTGGAAATTCTGAAACCAGTTATATACAAATTCTCTCTTTAAACCCCACTGTAGAATTTCAGTCATGAAACACATATCATGGTATTTCTATTTTTGTCAGAAATTGGGAACCTGGAATTTTGCCTGAACAAAGGTAGCTGGATTGCTTCAAGATTGTATTGGATCTGTTAGTGCAGTTTTCTCTAAACTGGATGCCATCCAGATGGGTGGGCTTCAATTCCTAAAATTATCACCATGCTGACTGGAATTCTGTCAGCCTGAATAGCTGGAGAGCCCTCAGATTAAAAAAAGGCATCAGTACAATTGGCTGTGATAGGCAAGATGGACAGCAAACAAATTCAATAAAGAAATAAAATATTCTAAATGGTTACCTAATAGGAATGAGATGGAGATGCTGCGTTAGCCAAGGAAGTGCATCTAGATGACTTATCATTTCATGTTAAGTAGCATCTGTATGGGACTAACAGGAAGAGAATATCTGAAGGTTTTCACTGAGATGTTCTGATCATCTTCAAATCAAAGTGGAAGGGATTACTTTCTATCCATTGTGCCCAAGCTGGTTACCTTAGACCAGGGATAGGCAACCTTGGCTCTTTTATGACTCTGTGGTCTTCAACTCCCAGAATTCCTGAGCCAGCTTGGAAACTCTCCCTTTCCCCTCAGCGTGGCTGGCCCAGGAATTCTGGGAGTTGAAGTCCACGAGTCATAAAGAGCCAAGGTTGCCTACCCCTGCCTTAGACTCTTGTCTTTCCCAAAGTTAAGAGTGGTGATGTGAGGAAATCATTATATTCTTAAGTCTGTAAGTTTAGCCTCTATTATCAGGTAACTGGATCATGCTGATGTTAATACTTCACAAAACTTGGATATAGTATCATAAATTTACAGTTTGTACTTGCAAGTATTATTTTTACTGCTATTTAAAAACCAGAAAGAGCCTCCCCTGGCATCCCATGAGCCAAGCCTAATTAGACAGAATAATTATTTCTCTTCTCCAGTTGAAAGGAAACAAGAACAATGCCACAGGCAAGAATGAACCATTAGGCTACCTCTCAAACTACAGATAAGGAATATCAAAGAAAGAAACTTTTTCTAACTTTTACCTCCTTTGCTTTGCACTTCTGGGGATTAGTTAAAGCCCCTGACATGGCAAAAAAAGCAGAAATAATTCATGAAACCACAAATTAAACCACCTCTTCGAGTTTCATACTTCACAGCAAGCCACAGTTGCAATAAATAAACCGGTAACAAATAGTAATTTACTGCCCTAAAAGAAACAGTGGCTTATTCCTTGTTCCTGTTTGCACATCGCACTAAACTGCGAAGAAAACCTGTAGTTTGTGCAATGTATAAAGCCAGCTAAGAAGCTTTAATGAACAATCCAGAGATGTATCAGGCAGCATTTTCCCATACTAGAGCTCCTGAAGTCCAAACCTTTTCCAAGCTCCTTTCTTACTGATCTGTGATCTGTAGTGGCAGAACTCTGCCTATAGAAACACTTTTTTAATGGTTTAAGCTGGCTGTCAAGGTGGGGAGGGGGAGGGCATGCAGCCTCCTCCTTGAACTCTTAGCCAAGGGTGGCCATGATGAGCTTCATTCCTACAAATGAAAGAAGTTATTAAATCTCCTCAGGCTCCAGTCAGGTCTTGTTGCTTTGTGAAACTTCTCAGTAAGAAGTCCATTGTTTCCTTTAATCTTTCACTCTTTGTCTTAAATCCAGTCATTTCAATACCTTGCAAAAACCTGCCTGCATTTTTAAATTCTGGCCCTACCTTTAGTTTTTAACAAAACATAACAAAGGGGTCTGCCGCTTGCATCACAACAAAAGATTTGGGTTGAGCAGGAACAGGACAGACGCATTCAGCTGGGACCTATTTAAGCAACAGCGCAACAGTTTAATATTGTTGCTACAAGCATTGGCAAGTCCTGTCCGGTTCCTCAGGCCTCCCTCCCCCCCACCGCCCCAGTCAGGTTTCTTCTGTTGAAGCCCAGAGAAGGAAACCAGAATCATCCATGTCTACTTATAAAGTAACTTGAATCCTTCACTATATTCCAAACTTAGGGTAACCTTGATGTATCCAGAGCTCCCCCAAGTTCAAATACTGTATGATGGAGAATTCAGATTAATTTGAAAAGGAAATAGGCGCTACTAGCGCCTTCATGGCTATCTCAGAGGGGAAGGAATGCAGTGCCTAAAAATCTTCGCACTCCTGAACTGTAGTTTGACACGGAAGGACTATACCAGGGGTAGGCAACCTTGGCTCTTTTATGACTCGTGGACTTCAACTCCCAGAATTCCTGAGCCAGCATGGCTCAGCTTGGAAACCTCTCCCTTTCCCCTCAGCATGGCTGGCTCAGGAATTCTGGGAGTTGAAGTCCACGAGTCATAAAAGAGCCAAGGTTGCCTACCCCTGGACTATACTGTATATACATGATAACTTTTCAAAAAGCTGGAGGGCATATTATAAATCAAAGGCACAGACAGCTCAGGGCAGACTAGAAAAAGTCAATGGCTACAGATAGTCTTCAACTTACAACAGTTCATTTAGTGACCATTCGAAGTTACAACGGCACTGAAAAAAGTGACATGATCATTTTTCACACTTATGACCATCGCAGCATCTCCGTGGTCACGTGATTTACATTTGAATGCTTAACAAACTGACTCACACTTATGACCATTGCAGTGTCCCAGAGTCCTGTGGTCTCCTTTTGCGACCTTCTGGTAAGCAAAGTCAGTGGGGAATCCAGATTTACTAATTTACTTACTAATTTAAGAACTGCAGTGATTCACTTAACAAATGTGGGGAGAAAAGTCGTAAAATGGGGCGAAGCTCACTTTCTCCCTTAGCAACATAAATTTGGGGCTCAGTTGTGATCGTAAGTTGAGAACTACCTGTATTAGCCTCCTTAGCACATTGAGCTGATCGAATTCACTCTAGCCTTATTTCCGGTAATTTTGTAAAAAAAAGTTCCATGCCTGTTTTTGGTGTGATTCCATGAACCTACCGAAGTTCTGTTTGTTGAGTAATGGATTCTCTTCTGCTCACCGGTGCCTGGAGAATGTATCCATATTTGAGCAGCAGGAGCTATTTCAGAACTTTGCTTTTGAGTTTGGTTTACTTTAAATATTTTATGTGAAAACACTTATCTCTGCAAGCATACTGAGCATAGTTTGTTATCTTTCGTTTTTCATCGGTGGGGCTATAGTTAAACAGCACTTATTCTGTTTTGATTTTCAGGTGCTCGTAAAAATCGCTTTATGGAGCTGATACTGGGCTCAAATCCTTTAAATTGTAGTTTAAAATCTAGATGTATTCCGAAAGCGTTTTAGCATCCTTTCACTATACATACACAATTTTTAAGACTTGTTTAAAAACCTTATAGTTATGTATGTACCTCCAGCAATACAAGTAGTCCAGTTGATAAATGAATCTGGGTTCCCCATTGATTTTGCTTGTCAGAAAGTCGCAAAAGGGGATTGCAACCGTCATAAATATGAACCACTTGCCAATCATCTGAATTGTGATCACGTGACCATGGGGATGCTGCAAGAGTCATAAGTGTGAAAACCGGTCATAAACCATTTTTTTTCAGTGCCATTGTAACTTTAAACGGTCACCAAATGGAACTGTTGTAAGTCGAGTACTACCTGTACAGGTAGTACTCGATTTAACAATCATTGATTAAGTGACCGTTCAAAGTTACAACGGCACTGAAAAAGGGGAGTTATGACTGTTTTTCACATTTACAGCTATTGTAGTATCCCCATGGTCACATGATCAAAATTTGGACACTTGGCCATTGGCATGTTGCCGTTTCCCTGGGGCCATGTCATCCCTTTCTGACGAGCAAAGTCGAGGGGAAGCCAGATTCACTTAACAACCGTATTTAACAATGAATGGCAAGAAAAGACGTAAAATGGGGCAAAGCTCACTTAACAACTGTCTTGCTTAGCAACAAAAATTTGGGACTCAGTTGTGGTCGTAAGTCGAGGACTACCTGCAATTCCTGTTGGACTGCATAAATCCCCGGTCCATGGACCAGTACCGGGCTGCAGCATGCCAGCAACCAGTCCACACAAACAATCAAAGCCCCATCCGCCAGATAAAGGAAGCACACGAAACCATGCTCCCTCCGGTCCATGGAAAAACCTCTCTTCACGGGACTGGTCGCTGGTGCCCAAAAGGTTGGGGACTCTGGCATAGATCCATAATATATTCATTACACACTTTTCCTCTCAATTCAGTATCTTGTGAGAATTTTTAAGTCGATGTATCCATTTTAATATTGGAATCCCAAGATATGTTTTGATCTAGGTAGGTAGATAGGGCAGGATAAAAATCTAATTATAATAATAACAACGTGTCTTACTAGTTCTGCTTGTCCCACTAGATCTGATAGCATTGACCTACTCAGGTCCCTCCCATCAAGCAGTGCCAATTGAAGGGAGCAAGCAAGTGTGGCTTCTCTGTTGTATCTGTCATGGTTCCGACAGATGAAATTCTTCAAAAGAACTTCGAGGCATTGTTTACCTTAAAGAATCTTTTATTTGGGAAACAGTATCGGCACTACATAGTTAAAGCCAAAAACTGAATTCCCCTCTCCTGCTTTGCACAAAGTAGCAAAGCACAATTCCCTCCTCCAATTAACAGTCATAAATCACATTCCCCAATTAGCTTGAAGCCCGGGCTTTCTCCCCAGCTCTCCAGCCGTCAAATCTTTATCAACTCTTGGATTCCCACGGCTGAGTTATTATTGTTATGACTAACTAGACTCTCATCCACATCCCCCCTTCCAGCATCAACTAACTCTAAAAGCGAAAGAATAAAATGGCTGCATTTCCATCTGTTGTCAAAGCAAGAACATCCGATGTTAGCAGAGTTGACAG